CTTCCATATTAATAGAGTATTGTTTAATTATGTATTGTAGAAATATATCTGAAAAATACATTTACGTACNCTGTTACTCAAATAGTTTTCTGTTTCACACCAGCTTTGAGGTATGTAAATAACTTTACTTTGGTGTTGGTTAGTGTTGATATGAATTTATATATGTATATTGAAACATATGTTTAAGTTCTAAACTAAGCGCAAATGCTTTATGTAGAAATATATCTGAAAAATACATTTACGTACTTTAAAATTTGAAATTTTTGTATACAAAGTCGTAGTTTTATTTCATTGATAAATTTAAAGCGTGGGCAATTATAAACGAGGGAAAAAATCCATCTAAAGAAACTTAAAGAGAATTAAATTTTGGAATTATTTTGAATGGTGGGAGAGTTTTTAAGTTTGTTTATTCGTCTGTCTGAGTTTTCTTAAACTTATTACAAAAAAAAACTAAGATTTTAAGTTCTATCCTTTATCACCTTTCACCCCAATTGTGGGTATGGAAAAAAGGGACATGTTAGTGCTTACAGGGCAGAAAAAGTTTAAAAAAAGGGTGGAGAATTAAAGTCCGACGTAAGGTTCTCGTCTCCACTTTGTTCTTTTTAAAAGTAAAATGAGTTTTTGGACACTTAATCAGAAGGTAGAACGACAATAGTTAAGTTGCAGGAATTTGTATTGGAGGACGCTCAAAAAAACGAAATGAGATGATGACTAAGACTAGACGAAAAAGAAAAAATCAATGGAGGAAAACTGGAGATCGGAAGAACGGAAAATAACAGATGGGTTTTTGCGTTTAAAAAGCAAAGTAACTGTTAACTTCTTGAATTACAATTAAATTGTAAATTAATATTTCTATTTATTTATTTACCCAGAAATATTTTAAAATACCTTCCGTATCAAATCCGTAATTGGCATTCAAAATAGATTTGTAAATACATTCAGCATTCGATTGGTGTTTTGAATTCTGAATAACTATTCATTATTTTATTCATTTTATAGCAATAATCTCTCTCGTATCTCCTATTTATGTTATTCTCTCTTTATCTTTATTTATGATTTATTGTATATTGTTTAATAAAGCAAACCAGATTTTACCTAGATTAAATTTATATTGATTTTATAATTAATTTACACTTGTACTGTTTATTATTGTTTACCGGAGCGAATAAATTTCTGTTAGTTTTTATTGTATTATTTAGTTGAATGATAGAACTGTTGTTTCCTTTTTTTAATGATCAATAACTTAGATAAGTCAATTTTCTGAGAATATTAAATTATTCATGTTAGAGTGAAATGCATTTTGATTTATTATTATTATTATTATTGTTTATAATATCATAATACAAAAAGCTGATTTATCAGAGTGATCCTTAGTATTTTTGGACCTATGTCCATCCTCGTGTAACAAAATCCAAAGACAAAATATATAAATTGAATGTAATTTGATTATTAATACATAAATATAAAATTTTGTATTGCATTTAATATAATTGTTTGTGTTAAAATACTGCTGATAAGTTATCAAATGATTATATATACGAGAATATGCCGATGTAGTCATAAATTCCGATACTCTACAAAGAGATCTTTATATTAAGTACAAATTTCTTAATAATAATCTTAATATTTAAAAACTGAACCATATTTTGTTGTATATTAATACATTTAACACCGTATAAGTGATAAAGTGAAAATGTTTGAGTAAACTACAATTTCCTACTCATATGCAGACAATTTAATGAATATCGAGAATCCGATGACACGTTTTCAAGAGACAGAATTAAACAAATACAGGACAGAAATCAGAATCAGGAGATCCTAAATGTAGATAGAGAAATTATATTTCATCAATTAAATAATTAAATGTTAATCACATACGTATGCGTGTATATACGGCGTATGATTGAAAGTCACTTTGCTACTATCACACAGCATATCAAAACTGGCAAGTTTATCAGCTTATTATTAGACACAAGCCATCTGCTAGCAGTTTGTCAGAACTTTAGTGGCATTGATATTCTACAAATTAAATGATCAAGCTGTATAAACATGACATCAGAATAGTTGAAAGATTTGTAAACTAAATTTCTTCCATATTAATAGAGTATTGTTTAATTATGTATTGATTCTGTATAATCAGTATCATCATTTGTTAATGGTTATATCTTAGTAAAGTATTATTTACATATCTAAAGTAAATACAATTTAGTTTCGAAATGATAAATTGATTAGATTAACGTACTGTTTTGTATTTATTTATTACGGCTAGTTTAATTGAATTTTGCTTAAAGTTTGTTTTTTAATTGAAAAATATGATGATAGACTTTTTTCGTAGTTGATTAAACTATTTGAAAAGTTATTATTACTTTTTATTTTTTCTATTTAGACTTTGTTTGTTTAAGTAAAATCAACTTGCACTTGTGATATTTACTTAATACCTTATCTACAGAGATAATGACTGCAGAACATCATAAAATTCACCGATTAGAAGTTAAAAAACTTAAATAATTTTTATACTCAATATTATTTGGCATGAATTAGCTCTTTGAAATTGTACTTGGCTCAGTGGCGTAGCGTGATTGTCAGCCGCCTGGGGCGGAGGAAAATTTCGCCGCCCCCTTTTTTAGGTATCTCAATTTAAAAGAATAAAATTCAGTTTCATCACAGAATAAGTAATGAAAAATTTCGTGCTCATTTCAATCGGTCCGAATCGTAAGTGCGACAAAAAATATGAAATGAAATGGTTCAAATTTTTACAAGATATTATTTATTGTGAAATTTTGCCATCCCCTAAAAGTGCCGCCCGGGGCAGGGCGCCCCTGCCGCCCCTACTACGCTACGCCACTGACTTGGCTTCTTTTATACACAAACAGAAGTTTTATATTTCAAACATATTAATCTGAAACAAAAAAAAATTTGTTTTAGCCTAATTTTAGTAGGTAAATCCTTCAAATTCATTCAGAATCATTTGAATGTAATTAGTGTTTCAAAGTTTTATAATGTTTTCGCAGGCTCAAATTCGAGCTTTTCCTTTTCTCAAATTACTCTTTGATCTTTATCTCCCGTATTAATTTCTTTATCTTTTACATTTCTATATATGGTGTAATAGTACGGCATATCTTATCTTGAAGGCAATAGCTTTTATTATTGTCTGTATAATAGTATGCTCTACTTTGTTAAATATGGATATTATATATAAAAGATCATCCGTACAAAATTCTTCTATATTGCTCCATATAATGTCCAAGTTGAATATTTATTAGTAATAATAGAAATAGAAATAAACAGCTGGCTAAATTTTGTTCGAATGTTGGAATGGAAACAGTATTTTAGAATATTAGACTGTGGCTGTTAGTACATGACAGTCCATTAGATAACATGTCAACAGCTATTAATTACATCTACATTTGGAAGTGTGGTGTTTGTTTCTTTCATATTTATTATGATATAAATTGTTCGCATCTCTTACATATTGTATAAAGTTGGTTTGTAGTTGACTGCGATGTTCTTGGATACAATGGATAATCTGCATTATTGGAGCATCCCTATCCTTCATTAGTTTGCTATATTGAGGATCAGAAAGTAGAATACAGTAGAGCATCGATTATCCGAAACAATTCGGGACTGGGATTTTTCGGATAACTGATCATTTACGAAAAAATATATTAAACACAAAACTGTACTGTATATAATTTTCATCACACGTCTTACAAATACATAATGTAATACATTAAACTAGGCCTATAGTTTTGGTTTGGTAGGGAGGGTAAGAGTGCTGCAACGCCACAGCCCTGGCGTAAATTTGAATTTTCCGACTGGAATGCTTTTGGTTAACCAATGTTTCGGTTGATCGGTATTCGGATAATCGATGCTCTACTGTATATAGAATTAGCATTGTTATATATATATTATGTCTATTGAAACTACACGAATCTTGATTTTATTTTGGAAAATTTTTTGGGGTTTTTGTCTCTTATTCTACAATGTTTTGTTATTAAAACATTTTTTGTATTGTTGTAAGATTTATTGATGTTAGAAAATAAAAATTTAAATAATTTTCAAAATAAAATAATTAAACAATAATTTATTGATATAATTATTTCTTGGAAGCTTTCTTTTTCACGGGAAATTTTCTGCAGACGCCCGTGGGTTCGCTTCATCCTCGCGCCCTATANAAAAAAAAAAAAATTAATATTTTCTACGAATTAAAGATTAAAAGGCTATTAATGTTTGAGTAAAGTAATTTAAAATTTTAATTTACATATAAATTATTTACATGCATAATTTAGTTTTTAAAGAAAACCTATATTTTATTTATCTGAATTAATTCACATACAATTCTTCTGATATAGACAAAATGATTGCTAGCATTAAAAAAAGGAAACTTGTTTGTCTTTTTTGAAAAGTAATATTTATACTAATTGTATTTTATCATTAATAATATATTCTGACTTAACAAAACAATAAATTAAATTGTTTTGTGTCTTTATAGTTGAAATCAATACTTATCAAACTGCATTCTCATTATAAACAATAAAAAAAAGATATATTTTTTTTTCAGAATTTACATTCTTATTTTTTTGAAAATTGTTACATTATATATGACGCGACTGAGATAATTTGGAAAAAAGTTTGAATATTTGATAATCTATTGAATTTTTTGGCTTCAAAATATTTTCACTTTTGAATTGCATTCTGTAACAGAATGCGACTGAAAACTGAAGACAGAGCTTAGAATATTACATGTTTTTTTCAAAAATAAAAAGGATTTCTGTGGATAAAAATTGTTTTTTTTTTCTTTTTTATGTATTGTTGCTATCTTCATATATTAGTTATTATTATTTCTTATAAAATGAAAACAGTATTTAACTTTTAAACAATACACTTTAAAATTATGATAAACTGTTAAAGGTATTCGTTAAGTCATGAATTAGAAAATCTTAATTATAACTTTTGAAAGAATGTATTTTTTTCAATGATATATTTATTATTTATTATAGTGGATTTAAGTTCAGCTAGTGAAGAAGCAGATTCGGATGATTCTGATTCCAGAGACTTAAGTGGATATGCTTGTCATCATTGCTATACTACAAGTGAGAGATTTTATTTCTCAAAATATTTATTTTGAAATATTAAAGTTTAATAATTAATTCATTTATAATTATTTTTTAATTTAATATAATTTCTATTAATTATTAGCTTCTAAAGATTGGCATCACGCTGGAAAAGATCACGCTTTGTTATGTACAGAATGTAGGCTATTTTTCAAAAAGTATGGTGAACAACGTCCTCTCTCGGAGCCTAGAGAACCTCCTCCTTTCATGTTTAAACCCGTAAAAGAAGAAGAAAATAATAATTCAGTCAATGGTAAACATGTTATGAGAACCAGAAGAAGTAAAGAGGTAATTAGTATTTTTATATATGGTTTTAAAAAACATAAAACACAAAACGTATAAACAATGCAATAAGTAATTTCTCAAATAATGAGTTTCTTAACCTTGACACACATTTTTCATTTGTTCATACTGATGAAATCACTCGTATTTTTATTTAATAATATTTTAACTTTTCACTCATTATGCTCTTAATTCATTATAAATACATGAATACATTTTCACAAAAGAATATGAATGTTTTCGAAAATTTTAGCAATGAAAATCATAATTTATGACGATAATAGGTTAATGAATGAAAAATATAAAAACTCAAAAGTAAAAACAGTTTAAAAAAAATCAAACTACATGTTTTTTGATAATGCTAAAATTTGTTATTTTTCTCTTGCTATTTTCCAATATTAAAAAAATTCTAACAGCATTATTTATATGGAAACTAGCTGAAACAGTCTAAAATATCTGACTTTAAAATGAGGCACAATTTTGAATCTATATCATTGGTGTTTTTAATTATATAATTCATATCAGTGATAGACTGAAGTTGACAGATTTAAATATTTTATTATAAATTATTCGAAACATGTACAATTTTCTGATCATTTCATTGTTATATATTTTCATTTAATTTTTAATTCTTGGATTTAAATATAATATTTGGACAATTCGTAAGTTTTTGCATTCAGTTCTTTCATTTCGTTTGTCTTTAAATTCAATCTGTTCAAATATTCATTAGGATAAGTTGTATGTAAAACTGAAAATGGAAGCTCAATCACCTTAACAATCAGTATGAAATAACTTTTGTTATGTTAACAAATATTTAACATAAACAAAATACGAAAAATATAGTATAAATAATGGATTTAATTTATTGAAATTATGCAAAATAATAATAATTTTCTATTTTTACATTGATATTTTTTTACATTAAAAATTTAAGTGAATATTCATTAAACATAATTTATGTAAAGTGAAGTGGTTTAGCTATGTAATATTGTTAAAATAAAATTTATTCTTTTTTTAACAAAAGTAAGATATAGATAAAAGTATAGCGAAAAAAAGATTATCTGCCATATATAAAAAATTAATAGCATGCTAATATCTCAAAGTAATCTAAAAATGTGTTTTTATATAACAAAAATAATTCTAAAATTATATCTACTCACTTTTCCATCATTTATAAGTATAGAGAATTTTAATATTTTCTCATAAATACTAATCATAAAGAAAATTCAATACTTAAAATGGCACTTAGATTGTTTATATATATATATAATTTTAAATAATATCACATTACCTAACACAGACATAACAAAGCAATAAAAATCAAAAATGTTTTAATTAAATAACTATAGTATGTTAAAGACTTTCAAATAATATGTGTAAATTATTTCGTGTAGTGTGAGGTTAAATAACTTTTAAGATTTTATTATTATTTTTTCAAAATTAGTATTGTCTGTAATAACAATAAGTATCTGTCTGGTAATGTAAATAATTAATATATTTTATTGCAGTCACAAAAGACAAAATCAAGAGGAGTGAGTAGTCCCTTCAATTCAGATACTCACAGTACAAGAAGTGTTCAGAAATCACCTGGTGTTACTGCAGTTGGCAATGGTGATAAACATGAAGATAAGAAGAAAAAGGTTTTAGTATATTTTAAATCCCTTTTTTGTGATAGTGAACTCACAATGATAATTTGTTCTGCTCAATTATTCTTCACAAAAAGATAAATGTTAAGAATACAAACAGTGATTGAATTAAATCAATTTAGCTTTTTATGGTCTATTACAGAAACAAAGCCGGTAATAGGCTTAAAGCTGTTGTTCAGACTTGCCTCTAGCTTGGTCCAAGGTACAGTTTTTGTCAGGAACAACAATAGTTAACAATGGCCAACTGTTTGCCTAAAGGCAAGGATTATGTGGCGCAGGTGTAATCTAAGCTGCTACTGAGACCTTAATTTTATAAATAATCTTTAGTTTTCTAAACTTTTAAATTATCCAGTAGTCCTATATATATGTACAGTACTACTGGATAATTTAAAATTTAGGATATACGTATACACTAAAAATAACTCAGTTAATTAGATTTAATTTATGGCAAATTCAAGTTTTATATGTTGTATCTTTCATAAACTTTTCATTTTTCAGTTTAAAATAACATTAAAGAAAAAAATGAAAGAAATTGAAAAATTACCATATAATTTAATGACAATCAAAACAGTAAGAATACTTAAACTAGTAAAATTAGTTTAATTAAATTGAATTTTCATAAGAAAGGACGGAAGTTTCAGAATAATTTGTTATTCTCTTTTGGAATTTTCTAAGTTATTTAATTAATCCAATTCTAATTGTAAACCACTCTTCCTGTTGGAAAAACAAATCTTTGTGTGAAAGAGATTAAAGTATAAGTATTTATCTATCTCCTTTTAACTATTTAGGTTAATGGGTTTATATCCTAGAGGCATAATTAAAAATGTTAGAGGACCAGTTATGACTAGGAAAGGACAATTTTTAAGTTGAACTAGGATAGGCTGACCATAACATTTACAATCCAACTGAGGACACATTTCAGAATCAATAAAAATGGGGTCTAATACTGATTGAACTTTGCTTATTTTTTGAATTTATTTATTTATTGATCTATAAATTTGGTTTATATTATATTGGTGTGTTAATAAAATTGCTTTATTCAAAAGATTGTTTCTACAAAAAAATATTAAAAACAGGAAAAACCGGAGACAGTTTCTGGAATTTGGGGATTTTTCTTTTTATACAAATTGCTACAACTTAACAACTTTAGTTAAATTATAATTTGTTTTTCATTCCAATAATTTTGTAACACCTCTGTGAAAACAGTTAAATTAATTTAAGACAATAAAATATTTTAAAATGATTTTATTAAAATTTAATTATTATTATTATTGTTTAGAAACTATATATTAATGAATTAATTGTAATGAGAAATTGTTCCTATGTTATCTTTGATGTACAGTTTGTGATTTAACTGCTAAAATTTTGAGTTATTAAATGAAAACATTTCTTTTTTAGCTTAAAAGCTTAAAAATATAAGCTTTTAATTGAATCATATAAACAAAGAAAATATCATTTTGTTTTTAGTAATATACTGTTATCAGAATTGATTTGGATTAGATTTTAAAAGTTCTTAAAATTTTATTCCGAATAGAAAATTACAAGGGAAAGTCCAGCGAAAGGTAAAAAACGAGCACGGGAAGAAAAGAATACACCGGAATGTGAAGAAGAAAAAAGTTCTCAGAGGAAACGTTGCACAAGCGACCAACCAACCAGTCCATCAGAATCTATCACGACCGAAAGCAGCAGTATTTCAAATGAAGAGAATGGGCACGAAGGTGATAATGAAGAACAAGAAGGTGATGGACTTAGTTCTCCATGCTCACCTCTTGATCCCTCTTTACCTCCACCCTTTCCTTCGACAGCTGAGTGCACAAACGAAAAGTAAATATATTTTAACTTTTTATTTAATTTTTGATTCTGAAAATGATAAGAATTGTTTTTATCTTAATGACATAGATAAGTTATATAAAATCTGTTGAATATTAAATGATCTTTGTAAATAATTAAAAATGTTTTATATAAATTTAATAATTAATCTAATTTGTATAATTGTTTTAATGTTATGAAACATAATGAATATATTTAGCTCTATTGATCCTCAATTTTATGAATCTTGATATAATTGACTTTGGATACAGTACGCACTTGGTATTATTGGTTCACTGTTTCCTCTGTTAGTCTGTTATATCAAAGGTCAATAATAATAAATTAGAAAAAAGAAGAGCAAAAATTGTGATGTCACTATTTTTAATTATTTACATATAACATATGTGTTAAAATAAATTTAAAAATTTGAATACTATGTAATCAATAATAATTTTTTAATTAATAGATCTGAAAATGATGCTCAAAAATTATCAGACAGTACTACAAATTCATCTATACCAAAAGATACATTTGTTCAGCCTCTTCCTCCAGACAGCATTGTTCCATTAGTGCAACAAATAAAAACAGAACAAGCAGAGACAGTAAGTACTGTTTGTCAGTTACAGGACACAAATTCAAGTAAAGATGAGGATGTGACTCAACCCACGGTACAAAATAATGAATGCACCATGAACACAGAACCTAGTCTGCCTTCTGTAATGGAAACTGTGATAGAGAAGAGTGATAGTCAGCCTCCCGTTGGAGAAAATGTAAGACCACCTTCTAGAAAAGAAAGTGTGGAAAATAAGGTTCTTCCAGTAACTGTTCTAGATTCTGTGAATGTAGAAAATCTGCCAGAAAGAGGGTGTAAAGCAATTTCAAATTCGCCCACTGCTTTAGATTGTGTGATTAGAAGCAATGTGTCTACTCCAACATCAGTGGAGTGTTTGAAACAAACCAAAACACCACCAATTGCAGTAGAAAGCACAACAAAAGGACAGACTCCTATTGCAAATGGTGGCATAAAAGATCTTAGTGTGCTTCCATCTATATCAGAAAATACAGTTAAAAGTTCAAAACCATTGCCTGTTTCAATTGATAGTATTGTGAAAGTAACAAAAAATTCTCCAGAACCAGCAGATAGCATAATGAAGAATAGTGTTATTCCATCTGTTGATAATATGTTCATATCACAACCAGCACCAATGGATAACAGAATTAAGAACAATTTACCTGTTCAAAACGCTGTGGAAAATATTTATGTAAATTCCGCTCTAGATAATCGAATAAAAAGTAACTTAGGACCTATAACGCCCATAGATAATGTGTTCTTAGCATCATCTAATCCCATGGAAAATAGAATTAAAACTGCTTTACCATCATCATCATCTACAGAAAATGCTTTTCCAGTAACAACTACTTTGACAGACACTAAAGTAAAAAGTAGTAATTTAACTCTCTCTACTTCAACATGCAGTGCTTTTGAAGGTAATGTTACGTCATCTGTAGTGCCTTTAAACCCAATGGTGAAAGTGAAGGAAGAAGTAAGATCTACCTCTTCCCCACATCACTCGCCTTCTTCCCCACTTTCTGGGCAGCCGGTATGTCTCACTTTTTCGCCTCATAAATCTAAATCAACAGTTATGGAGCAGGCTCCAACACTCAGGGAAAATGAACAAGTAACACTTTTTGCTTCACCATCATCACATAAATATCCAGGACCTTCTCCTCATAATATAAAAGTGGAGCCACCAGAACCTTGTCTTTCAAATATTTCTTCACATTTTCCAAGTTTTCAAGCACCTTCAGTCTCGTCACCTTCAAATCTTAATTTAGATAATCTTAGTTCTAATAACAACATTCATCCGTTGAATCGAACTGATAAATCTGGTTCGCCTCATTCTTCAAATATGACAAAACAGTCGTATTCACCATATGCTTTCCATCATCCTTATGCCTCACATATTTATCCATCTAGTGGTCTCCAGCATCATTTTGCCTATTCACAACAGCCTGTATCATCATCAGAAAATCCAGTGTCTTCCTCTTCCAATAAAATAGCAACATCCCTTTCTATAACACAACCCTTAACTTCAACCGCAGTCACTCAATCTTCCAAACATGTGTTATCAAGTTCTTTATCTTCTACCCAAATTTCTGCCTCCCAGTCACAAGTTCCACCAACTATTCATCCATCACAAACTCATGCATCAAAATCAATAGTATCAGGGATTGCTGGCAAACGTGATAGTGATAGTGGAGTAGTCCACCACGCACCCCCAGTACATCATGGTGGCAATGAAGAAGATGAAGAACAAGAATCATTTTCAGTTACTCGTGGTCCTAGTCCAGAACCAAAGGTGGAAGATACAGAATGCCATCGTAGTCAATCGGCCATGTAAGTTTTTAATTGTGCTACAAATAAATTTATCATTTTTTCAAACTTTCTTACATAGAATTAATGCATAATCGTCATAAATCAATAACTGTAACTATTAATATCAACAAAGATAACAGTAATTATTAATTATGTTATGTTGCAAGTTATTGATTTGTTATTACGAGCATCTATAATTTGTCATATAATTATTAAGAGAGAACATTTTAAAAGAGATTGAACAATCTTGCTCTGGTATTTTTTATTTTATTTTTGATTCTTAAAGTAGAATCAAGAAAGTTAAAATAATTAAAACAACAAATAGTTTTGTTATGAATATTTTTCATTAGATTGCATTATCATTAAATATATACAAAAGTTTCTATTTTAGAAGCTAATATTTTTAATATCAGCATACAAATTACATCAGAACAAATGTTTTTTGCTAATTTAATTAGCTATCGCTAGATTCTGATCAAATACAAAAACATAATCTTAAAGTTTGGTTTTATATTACGTTGGAATCTGATGGTGGCTAATTCAATTAGCCAAAAACATTTGTTTTGATATAAATTTAATGCTGGATGATAAAGGTTTCAGTTTCTAAAGTTGTATTCATTTAGTTATTGCTTATATTTACATTAAAGTGATGTTCTTTTCACATTTCACGTCCCTTTCTCAACTTTAATGCTTTCAAATTGTACAAATCATCTTAAATAGTAAATATATTAAGTTATAATACTAATAAAAATTTAAACTTCTGAAAATTTTAAAAAGATTAAATTTAAAAATAACATCTTTAAACAAAAGCTAGTTAGAGATTTCTTAACCCAAAGTTATAAATTTATCAAATTAAATTTTTTCAAAATTTATCTGGTGAAGTTCTAAATGATCGACATCTATTTTAAAATATGATTACTGTTTTAAATGACTTGAAAATGTGCTTATGAATTATTTCAAATATAGAATATCTACGCAACAATTTCAAATCTAGAAAACCACATATGGTTAATAGTAATAAATATCAAATGTAAAGAATTTTTAAATAATAATCCATTACTGTTTTTAAGTCAACTTTATAATATGATTAAAAAGAGAAATTAATTGGTATTTTGTTGGATTTGTATATAGATTTTTACGGCATTGGAATCGTGGTGACTGTAATTCTTGTGCAAGAACTGACCTCACTTTCAAACCCGTTCCTGATTCTTGCTTGGCAAGAAAGCGAGAGGAACGGGCAAGAAAAGCTGCCGAGAAAGAAAGGGAGGAAAATAAAGCGGTAAGTTAAAAATTTTAATTTTGTTTATGAAACGCTGAATTTAAAAATATCTCTATATACATACAATATATACCGTGCACACATTCCAAAATATTTATTTATTAACTTATTAATATTATTAACACATTATTTATTAATTTTATCAATATACTTGATGATAATTAAAAAAATCTCTCCTTTATTAAGAAATTATCATAATAATATGAAAGTGTAACAAAAATCCTGTACGGAATGATTTAAAAGAAATTGTTTAGCACTAAAAAGTACAGAAAATAAAAAAAATATATACAAATGGTACCATCGGCAATTTAAAAATTTCTATAAATATTTGATATTTATTAAAAATGGTTTCACTGAATGTAGAATTATAAAAGACCTTACAGAAAAATAGAATAGTTAAGAATTCTAAATTGAAAAAAATAGGGGAAAAGTTACAATTAGCCTCATGGAATTACAGTTCCACTTTTGCTTGTTGACATTATATCCAAGTGAAGAAGTTTAAAATAGGTCAGACAACTAAAGCATTGAAATGTGATAGACTCAAAATGCGATTATTTCAGGAAGTTTTTTTAACGAATGAAGTTTTGTGAAAGAAATTTGTTGGCTTACACAAGTGGTCCACATGTGCTCTTGAAGGTTCTGTTTTTGTAGTAAATGAATAACAAGGAATAAACACACAAATCTGTTTTATTAGTGTTACAAACATGATAACTTTCCGAGTACTGACTAAATCCTCCTTTGGGAAAACAAATCAAAAAACATTTCTTAAAATACAAATTTCAAGGAATAATTTATTAAAAAAAATTGATTTTTTTTTCCTTGCCAGATAATAATTATAAATTTTAATGCTTATTATGCAATAATTATATCGTATCGTTAATTTACTAGAAATTTATTTTAGTAAAAAAGCTGATTAGAATTGTTATTAGAAGTTAAAAATTGTAACAACTTCAGTTATATATTAAGATTATTTTTGTTAGTATTTGTTATTCTAAATCTATATTCCTGAAATCATTAATAATATATATAAAACCTTTCAAACTTAAAATTATACAAGACAAACATTTGATCAAATTATTTGGTATTATTTTATATAAATTACATAGATCTGTTAAATGTGCTAAAAAATATTCATCTATATTAATGAAATATTTAAATATATGCAAGTATTTTAGATGAGATATTAAATTTAGCACTATTACAAAGATAGGTTTTGGGCCCCTCTATACTTACTATCTACCAAGTTTAGTATTTTATTACAATTGAATATTAAAATTAGCATTTAATCCATTTATTACACTCCGTTCAATATGTTCTTAACTTCAACAATCTTTGTGCTGTGGAAGGGAATCTACTGAACTTCATACTTTTCTAGATCTGAATTGCTGAGATTCCTTTTCACAGAAATATATCAAGGTAGAACATACAAAATCATATTCCAAGAGATATTCTTCAGAATGAGAAGTTGAACTCTGGGATGTGATGAAGGATGATCAGGATTTAAGTTGAGGATGAACATATTGAACATAAATGGGTTGAAATGCTGATTTGAATGGTATTTGAGTTAGTTCCGAATGTTGGGTATTCAGGTATACCACAGGTACACACATTTAAAGGGTTAATAAAGTGGAAAAAGATTTATTCAGAAGTTAACTTTTTTGTTACACAGTTTATAATGTTTTGCACTTTGTTTTCATTCTTAGATTAGTTCATTAAAACCTCTCCTAATACAATTGTTATAAAGCATAATTATGGTTGGATTTAGAGCAGGTTGAAAGATATGTTGAAAAATGTTATCAATGTTAGATTATTAAAGATTTTCTCAAATTTATAATTCTGCTTAACACATCCTTTTTAAAACTTGAATTTGCTGATTGATATTTATTATACTAGACAAGGGTGAATGAGGCTATATATTTTTTTAATTTAAACTTTAGTGGATGTTTTTAATGAAGTTAAGTTATTCCATGATATAATAAATTTTTTCTTCTGAGAACTCAAGTATTTTCACTAACACATTTGTGGATCTGTAAACCACAGGTTGAGAAATTGTTACCCAAATTATCTTGCCTACTTGGGTATGAAAATTTTAGTTTCAGCATTAATTTCAGTAAGATTTGTGTGTATCATTGTTTATTTGTACCAGTAATACAGCATTAAACTAGCAGGTAACTTTTTGACTGCCGTTCACTAAATTTAGCAATATTGTGACGATGGTAAATATGCTTAGATTTAGACATTTGATTTTAAATTAGGTTCTAAACTTTTGATTTTTAATTCAATTATATATTTTTATATAATCATTCATTAGAAAACTTTTGTATTTATCCATTAGAATTGTAATATACAATAATTTATAATAATACTATACATTATAGCACTGTTATAAATTTTTTCTGCATGTAAAAATATATTTCCTTGCATTTATTTAAGACAAAATATTAATAAAAAAAATTTTTTTTGATTTATTTTTAGAAACTTGGGGTCTCGGAAAGGGGTATTGGCCTGGATTGTAAGTCTGGTTCCATCTCACACGGTGATAATCATCTCAGTCCGTTCGATCGCATCCCTCCTCGTAGCTGTCACGATACCCCGGCATTAAGGCAGTTGAGCGAATATGCACGACCGCATGCTACGTTTTCACCATGCTATACGAGAACGTCTGTCGGAGGACCTATACCTTCCGTTGGGAACGCCGGTATCCCATTAGGAATGTTACCTCACGGAATAGATCCTATTCTTCATTATCAGTTGTCATCAGGAATGTACGGTGCTGCAGCAAGGGAAAGGTAACGTATACTTTGAATTTTAACTGATTAAAAAGCAAAACATATCATATATTACATGTTTTTAATTGCATATTTTTTACATAGTTGCCAATATTTTTAATTATATTTACTTAGGATATTTTGTCTTTGTTGTATTCGTTACTGTAAATAAATTTATATGCATTAATTTAGAAAAATCAACTATATAAAGTAGTAATTCTTTGGATAAATTAAGTATTATAAAAAGTATTCACATAATTGGAAGAAAAATAAATGTCTTCATGTTTTGTCCTTTTGAACATTTCAGGAACATACTGGTCTTTATAATGGAGTCCTTTATTTGATGCTACTCATCTACCTCAGTATACAAAAACACTTAAAAATTCCTGGGCAGTGGCACAATATAAAAATATACTAATTAATAAATAAAATTGCCAATCACTGGCAATTTTGTTTATTAATTAATATGAAAATGGATGAGCAGCCTCAAATAAAAGGTCAACTTTACTGTAAAGACTATTGTGTTCCTGAGCTGTTGAAAAGGACAAAATATGAAGACATTTATTGTTTCTTCCAATTATGAGAATACTTTTTTTATAATTCATTGTTTTCTTGACAGTTTTATTTAATAATTAAATATTGTATTATAATTTGACTTCTCTAAATAAATGCGTTCAAAATTTTTTAATAAATAAATATCAAGATATTGTAATTATTGCTTTTTATTAAACTTTATGTAGCAAATACAACAATAATGTAAAATTGTACGATTAAGAATAAACATTTTTACTGCACTTGTTAATAAGAGTCATCCAAAACATCAAAAAATAGAAATTTTAATAAAAACATGGAATAGCACTTTTACATGAATTGACTAGTTTTATTATTAACCATACAATAAATACTACATGTACTGTACCGTATGTGAGGCCCTCATTTTGTTATATCTATACACTTTTTAACAACAGAACTAATTTTAAAAATTTGCAATTTAAACTGTGCTTTATGGGGCAAGTTCTTTATTGTGTTTTAAGTTGTTAACTTTACAAGTTCATTTAAGTTTGGCAAAAATTCTTTCGCATGTTTTTAATAAAATTTCTACCATTTAATGTTGTGGATGACTTTATTAACTAATTTATATCACACAAATATTTATAAAAATATTTGTATTTTTATTTAATATTTAGCCAATTAAATTAAATGATTTAATTTCAATTTGTTCATATTTAAGAGCTTCATATTAATTAAAAGTTTGTAAAACTTTGCTAATTTTCTTTGTTTCTGTTTAAGAAGTAATTCCTATATAAAAATATAATTTGTTATTGATTTTGAAAGTATTTAACCAATTTTAAGTGAACTAAAATTTATCTTATATTATTCGTAGGTTTGAATTAGAATTAGAAAGAGAGAAAAGGGAACGTGACTTGCAGGACAAGTTAAAAGCAGAATTTGAACTGAAATCACGTCTTCCTCCTGGAATGGCCGGTGCAGTAGCTGGCGGTGCATTTGATCCTCATTGGTTAGAATTGCAAAGACGCTACAGTGCAATGCCGGGTGGACCCGCACCCAACATGGTTGCGGGTCCATCTTCGGGAATACCTCCTCCCTTTGGACTCTATCCTCCGAATGACAGAGAACGACTAGAACGATTAGGTATCGCAACGTCACTTTCGGGTCCGGAAGTTGCCATTGATCGCCTATCGGCAGAACGGGTACATTCTGAACGTCTGATGTTGGGCACAGATCCTCTACTTCGTCTCCAAATGGCAGGTATCACCCCTGAACTACATACCCATGCTCATACACATGCTCATGCCCACACTCATCTTCATTTACACCCACATGATCCTGTATCTGTTGCAGCAGCAGCAGCTGCTGCTATGGGAGTATCTTCTCATACAGGAGTTGATCCTTCTGGCCATCCTGCATCTGGACCTCACCCATTACTACCTCCTGCTGGATATACAGGACCACGACCAGGTATTCTGCAAAGATCTGAGCTGTTGCATCCTCAATCTGGAATGCTGAGGCCACAATATGAAGATCAACTGGCTCATCAGGTATTTCTAAATAATTAATTGCTTCAAATACAAGTAATTTTAACAGCAGTGTTTTTCAAATGAAATTTAAGCAGTGAAAAATTCTATGGCAATTTTTATTTGAAGTTTTTGAAAAGAAATGAAATCCTGCATCCTAATTCAAAATTATTCTTTCTGAATAATTATTTACTTTCCTTAAAGTAAAAATTCGATGTTTGAAAATTACAGAATTAAGAATAATGTAAATAAATCAAGAATATTAAAAATTAGTTAATAATTTAATGTATATTAATTCATGAATTTTTTGGAACATTTAATGTAAAGGTATGTACAACTAAATTTGTTTTCATATGAAGATAATTATAGTAAGTTAATTTCAATTTTTTTTTAAATAAAAAATTAGTCTTAAAATTTCACGTCAGCATTTATAAATTGCATATTAATTTAAAACCGTGCTTTTATTTTCAGTTATCAGCTCAGTTAGCTCACCAAGAGCAGATACAACGACAAATGCTGTTGGAGCGCGAGCGATATGCTCACATGGGTGGCAGTATTCCTCATCCTTCTCAATTAATCCCTCAACACGAGGAATTTTTACGGTAAGAATTTAAAAAGTTTTTCTACAATAAAGCCAAGTTTGACAAAGGAAAGACTTCACACTAATTTATTTATTTTACACAAATAAGTATTTTTCGCAATTTTTTTTTTTTAGTTGATTATTCCTTTATGTCAGAAGTACTGTACTAGAAGATTATGACATCAAAGAATATGATTCACAAACTTCTCTGTTTATAATTCATTTCACATGATTTGTTTTACAACAAAGGGTTCCTAACCTATTTTCTTATTTACACCTTTCCAAAATTAGATTTAATTTGCCAACTCTTTATACACTGATATAGAATAAGAAAAAATTATAAATAAAATAAAATAATCAGATAGGAATACTAATAATTTTTTTTAATAAACATGATTCTATGTTTTACTTTACTAAAATTTAAAGATATATGAATTTTCATTATTTACTATTATAATCGTGTTGGTGAAGTGTATCCTAGTCTAGTGTCACACCAGATACAGGAAGTTGTTATTATGTACGAATAAAATTAATTTGACGACAATCTCTCGAATGAATCGATTGGCCCTTCAGGTCAATAGTAAGTGGATTGCAAACTCCTGATTTACAGTAATAAATTTTATTTACATTACGTTACAAAATTGAAGAAAATTATACAATTTATTTATTAATTAATATATTTAAATGGGCATCCAATATTAAAGGTACAAGCCAAAATTACATTAACATTTATAATTAAAGAGAATATTTAATACATTCCACAAAAAACTACATACTTTTGTTTATTTCTTGACGTAATTTCTGTAAACATTGAGACATTTATCCCAGCGTGAAACTAGTTTGAACATCCCTTCATGGTACTGTTGCTTGCTAAGTTGTTTGAAGTAGTCCAGAATGGTGTCTCACAATTCCTCCTAATCTGTAAAGCACTTTCCTGCCAAAAATTTCTTTAAATGAAAATCTGAGGTGGCTAAATCTGGACTATATGGAGGATGTTGCAGGACTTCTGCTATACCAACACAGTTTGGTTTGATTTGACATAGGGAGTATAGTCCATATATTGAGAAATAAACAAAAGTATGTAGTTTTTTGTGAAATGTATTAAATATTTTCATTAATTGTAAATGTTAGTGTAATTTTTGTTCGTACCTTTAATATCGGACACCCCTCGTACTATTAACTGCTACTTAAATTGAAGATTTTTAAAAAAAGTATAATAGTGTAATGATAATCATTGTTCTTTGACTTTCTGTAACTTATTAGAATTCTTTGACTAAAATTATATTTATAAGAAATTGCAATAATTTATGAAAAAGTGTTTGCAGTGATAAAACATTACTTTGTAAGTATAGTTTTAACTTCTCTTTCTCTGTCTTTAAAGAACTTCACTTAGAGTTAAACATTACACATGCTATTAATTAAATACTGTCGTTTAATTTTGTTTCTTCTCATCAATGGTACATTTTTCCATTTTTAATAAATTAAGAAAATATAATGCTAGCAAAAAGAGAATAGAATATGGTAACAATTTAGGTTGAAATCTGTTAATACAATGAATATATGTCTACTGTAAATATACTGCATTTATGTTTTTTTTCATAATTTAAAACTAACGTTTTATTTTATTTTTTGAAATTATGATATATTAACATGCTTTTTTACTTATTGGATTACCTATTTAAATGATTTTAAAATAAATGTTGAACATTAAAAATTGTTAAGATTAGAGAATGATTTCCAACTAGAACCACACAATCAGATTAAATAAATTTTTGGAGTTATTTTAAAAATGTTTATTAAGCAAAGCTCAATAAGGAGAAGAAATCACTTCTTTATTTATATACATATACAAGATAGGATTCGATAATTTTAATACACACATTAAAAATGAAGACTAAATTAGTTTATCAAAATATTGGGTGTCCCAAAAGTCAATTAATTGAGATTTGGTCACTTTTAATGAAGTCAGAACTAATTAGTCCTGATCCAGTCAAGTCATTTTCCATTATTCCAGATTAGTTTTAATGTTGTTAAGAAATGCTACCATTTTAAGTTATTGTAATTATGTTAATTATTATTTGAGAACATTGTAATATACATAAATACATTGGAAAACTGTCCAATTTTCGAATTTGCACATTCAAATTTCTCAATGCATGCCCTTGTCACCACACATCCAATAGATAGTTACTCAAACACCACATTATACCACACATCCACACAAATTTGAGTAACAGATAGTTACTCAAATTTTTCCTACACTCACTATGGCATATTCATTGTCACGCTTCCCACAGAAACCACAATTCTATAGTTCCTGCAGATTACTCGTATTGCACGGCGACGAATGATTCTGACTTTGTGAACTGCAGAACACAAAACTCCTTCCCTGTTGCAGAGTTGCCATTTTGTTTATGGTAGTAGAAGATAAAATGTTTGAATGCAGATAGGAGACAAAACTCAGGAAGTTACTCTATCAATTGGTGTACGCTGCGTACTTCTCGGATAATAATTAAAGTAATTTAAAATGGTAGCATTTATTTTGGAAGACCCTATACGGGAGATCGCTTACTTACAAGCATTCAACTTATGAAAAGTTTGACCGTAGGTCTAAAATTTAAATTTCAAGCAGATTGTGAAGTTCTCTTGCCACTCATGGGGTGATTCTGAAGTCAGTTTCTGGCCAATAATAAATAACGTGGGCTTATTTCTATCATGTACAGTGGTACCTCAGGATACGAACGCCCCAGCATACGAAATTTTCAGGATACGACATGAAATTCGAACATATTTTTGCTCCACGATACGAACAAAAACTCACCATACGACGTTACTTTAGTTTGAGGGCCATTTTTTTATTCACTTCTGTTCTTATTTTTTT